TAAAATTTCATATTAAAATAGGTCCAATTTTCAGCTTCAGCTTCAGCTGTCACAAGTGATATAAAAAATTTGATCGATATATACCAGCAAGCAAGTGAATGGTTACATGCTTTAAGTCCTTTAACAAAGGTTTTAATTTATTTTCTCTCCACTCTATATTTACTGTACGGCCGGCTTTCCAAACAACCCCTTTAAAAGGGGCTGTTGTCTCTATTCTTGCGTGGATTACAGAAACAAAAAAACTCGCGATAAACAAGAAGGTAATGAATTTCATTTTAACGAAAAAGTTGGAAAAGTGATGTCGGAAGGAAGGACTTCAGGATATTGTCGATAAATTAAGGTGGTGGTATGTGGGATAGCTTAATTTGCTATTCGCAACCGGGCGAAACCACGTTTTAAAAGATTGAAACAATTACACTGAACAACTAGTAGGGAATAAAATTTTTTAACATCATATCTAGCTAGTATTCATGATATGAAACAATAAGGACCAGGATTAGCATATATAAATAAACAATTGTTTTGATATTTAATACATAATAAAAGTTACACAAGGTTGTAATATATAAAATTTTGAACAATGTACCTTTCCTTTTTTTGCATACTACAGAATTTCATACTACTGCTTTTTTCTTAACTGAATAAAGTTAATAATGGTTACTGACTGATTAATCAATTAATTAAGGATTCCCATCAATTACCTTTTACGAAGTATTTTGATCAACAATTAGTATATGCATCTTAAATAAGTTAATAATTTGAAACCAAAAAAAGTGTCAAACATATATATATATCCGAAATAAACTTAATAAAGTTAAGTGTGTTATGCATATGATGTTCATTAAATAACATGTGATGGTGCCTAGATAAAAATATTTTACTTATATTAATTGGTTTGATTTCTATTAACGTTAATTAATACGTGTGTGATCGAAATGATAGAGATTACCAACAATTATATTACGTAGATGGCCATTCGAGTCATCTCACGTGTTATTGCTATAATTCAGGAAATAAATACTGACTAATCATACAAATTATTTATTTAATATATATGTTGAAACTTTATTCGGCCTTCGGATTTAAATCCGATTTCCTTCGGGTTCGAATCAAATTTGAATATAAAACCGGATTACTCCGCCGTTGTTTTTAGATAGTTTCATCAGTCATATAATCAATTAAATAAGTACAATGACGATTATAC